TTGTTTGTAGACCAGGAACCAGTCTCTTATTTTCCTCATCTACCAGATAGATCATTAGCATCCACCCATTCTGCCTATCCGTGTTTTTATAAGAATTAAATGAGATAAATTCCTTCTGGACAATTTTCAGGGACTTGTCCCATGGAAGAATATAGGTTAACCTCTGAATAGTACACCTGATAAATTTTCCTCTACATTCTGACAAAAGGGAAGAAAGGGGACAGGAACTGGCATTTGGTTAACACTTGCTATGGATCAGTCCCAGTACCTTCAGCATTTAACCCAACTCATGTAATCCTTGCTTTGTACACTATGAAGCAGGCCTTATATGTCCCATTTTACAAATGAGGAAGCTGAGGTTCGGCAAGCTAAGTACAGCACCTAAAGCCATCCAGTCGGTAAATAACAGACCCAGGATTTGAATGCAGATCCGTCTGAGTCTGACTCCAGAGCCCATGCTGTTTCTTCCATATAAGGTCAGAGAGAAGAGGACTATTTGGCTCCCTTCCTAGCCTTTCCCCTCCGACATCATCTTCACTTCTCAATAATGAAGACAGACCTCGACCCACCATGGTTAGGCCTAGCTCTAAAGTTGTTTGAAGGATGATATTGCCTTCTGACCTTCAACCTGTCTTTGCTTTCCCAAACTCCAACCTGCTGTTGCCCTCAAAGCCAGGCTGGATGCAGCAAACTTTGTCCCATCTTCCCAGGTCTGATGTGCAACATTGTGTGCTCTAGCAGAGAGCACAGAACAGAGGAAAGAACACTGAAATGGGGGAGGAATGGGAGAGAGGCAAATATAGCTTGGTTCAGGATCTTTGAACTGCCAAGCATCTTTCTTGGAATAAAAGCAAGAATGGACTCTTTCAAAAAGCACCGAGGCATTGACCTTGAGCTTTGCAATGTCTTCTGCATCTTCTCAGGTTAGGAGGAATCCCTGAAAACTCTGATGATGGCTTGAGACAGCATGATTTGCAGAAGTCACCCAGCCTTGGCTACATTTGCTATCTTGGTATGAGGCTGGGGGAGAGGGCAGCATCTGCAGGAAATACTGATAAAGCTGTTCTGGCTGAAACCCCATCGGGAATGCACAGTACAGTTTATTCCAAATAATGATATAAAGTTACACCCTCAAATACAAGACATCAGCTCGATTCTCCAATGGCGGTAGCCTAGGTTCAACTGATGTCCATTTTCTTGAGTAAACTAACACCTCTGCAGAAAGTGGCTACATGCCTCAGTAAGCATGTAGCTTACTGAGGGGGTGGGGGAGGTGGGGAGAAGAGACTGGGGCCCTCAGGGTTGGTTCAGAGCCTCCTTGGCTTCTATCCATGTGGCAAAGCTGTAGGTGTGCTTGTGTGTCTATTCCTCTGTGTCTTTCCCTACACGTCAGACAATCCAGCTACAATCGTCAGACTGCTCCCTTTACATTTCTGCTGCGGGCTTGGAGGGAGGAGGGAATGGGGAAAGGGCTCCCTATTTAGAAATTGCATTGAAATGGAAAGACAATATGACACATCGGCTCATGTCAAAGGAGCTCTTTCTTCCCGCCTACAGCATTAGCAATTTCCTACCAAGGTTCAATTTTTTGAAATAAATTATTATTTGGTTTTAATTTATTTTATTTGCAACATAACTCAACAAGACATTGCTGCTTAGAGCAGGGTGGTAGCCTGCCCAAGGGTAGAGACTTAAGGTGGGCGCAGGGGATGAGCACATTGGCTATTTCCATAGAGAGGAGAGCATCGGAGTGGGAGGCCTCTGGTTTCTGTCTCAAACCTCCTCTCATTCTGCCTCCCATTCAACCCCAGCTCCTCTTCCTGCATCTGAGCAGTCTGTCCTGGGGGTGCCCTGACTTGGGATGCTCCATCCATGGCTATAGATGTAATGAGAGCAGTCAGGGTGGGGGAGCTGAAAGTGAGTTGGCCTCTGTAAAACCACTCGAGCTTCAGAGCCAGGAAAGGCTGCCTCTCTCCTCCCCTCACCCCAGCATCCTCCTTTCTCCCTCATGTAAAACCCTAGAGCGCAGTTGCTGGAAGGAATCTCAAAGAGCTCCTAACCCAACTTCAGATAGGCACACTGAGCCCCAGATAGGGGATGTGGCAGCCTCATGGCTGCTTTGGTGCAGGAGCCCTGAATCCAGCCCTCCCAGACCCTGTCCAATGTACTTATTTGCCACCACTCCATGCTTACTGTCTCTGCTCCTGCTTCTCTCCCCTCCCCCTGCCAAACCCAAACTCACAATGGGATTTCTCTGAGACATAGAATTGAAGGGCAACGATTCCGCTTCTTTCTACCTCTTTCTCTCTCTGGGTTTGAGAGGGACCCTGGATCCTCCCTCCCAGGTTTTGGTGGAACCCTGGGATTCCGAATTTGATCTCTTCATATGGGAAGAAGCAAAGGTGTGTTTTGGGGTTGGGTTTGCAGGGGAAATGGGTTTGGGAGACAAAAAAGTGACTATATTTACATGAGGAATTTTTTTCTGTTTTGTGGCTGGTTATGTGACCACAATGGTATCAGCAGTTGACCTGGGAGAAGGGGGAGGGCGGGCTAAAGAGGACAACTAGGATAAGGTTTTTTCTTAATGTTTAAAAATACTTTTTAAATGTCCCCTTTTGAATGTGCTTCCTTATCTGTGCGTCTGTCTTCCGGTCTGTTTCTCTGGTCTCTATCTCCTATAACTCTCTCTGTATCTCTGTCTCATCCTCTGTCTCTCTCATTTATATCTGTAACTTGTCTCTATCTGTGTCTCTGTTTCTTTCTCTCTGTCTCTCTCATCTCTGTGTCTCTCACACACCCTAACTCCTACACTCCAACTTCAATAGCTGTTGACTGACACAGGAGCCCTATCCTGTTTCCACAGCCCTATCAGGGCAGCAGCTCCTTCACACTGTTAGATTGAGAAATGCCAGGTCTGGAGCTGCTGCCGGGGCGCCAGAGACGCTGCAGAGCCGCCTGCCGAGTGTGGAGGCTGAATCTGGAAACAATGAAAAATTATCTGTTAATTCACAGCTCCTGCCACCTGCTCTGCTCCAAACAAGCTCCTTTGGCTTCAGTTTAGATGCAAATTCCCCCACTCGATGTAAGCAAAATATTGATTTCCCTGCATCACAGGTCCGGGCCCTTGGAATAGTCCTGTGTTTTTTCATTCTCTGCAAAGGCAAAACAAGACGCTTTGTTCTGTGAATTTCCCCAGGAAATCTAGAGGGGGAGGGAGAAATAGCAGCGGAGTGACAGAGTTGCCATAAACACGGGCAAAGAGCAGTTCTTCTCCATTTGTATTTTACATAAACACAAACCTGCCACTTCGGAAACTGCTAATAAGCGTGTAGCCAGAGGCTCTCCTGGGTGCTGAGATCTGCATAGGGTGATAGAAAAGAAGGTATTGAGGCCTCTGGGCTCCTCAGGTGGGTTTTCAGAAGCACCAGGGAGGCGAATGGGGATGCCAGAGCCCCACCTGTTCTTGGAACAGCAACCAAACACCTCCGGCAGGAAGGCGGCCTGGATTGTACAGTATCGCAGGTGTGTGTCTGTTTGGTCCCTGCCTGAGTTCCTAGCCCCCTCCTATCACAGGCCCAGGGGTTAGGGTGGAAGACGAGAACCTTCCACAATTGCCTCTCCCCTATCCTCTAACCCAGTGCCCACGTGATGGTAGCACCAACTGGGTCTTCAGCACCGTGGACAGAGCCAGAGAACGCCTCACGGTGGAAAAGTCGCCTGCCTGAGCCAGGGTCCTCACAGGCCACGTCTTGGCCCTTGGTGCCCAGGGCACTAGCTACTAGGGAATCGCAAGTCCAAGGGCCTGCTGGCACAGATGGCTCACAGTGGAGACTGCCAGGAGCTGGGGCCCCGAATCTCCTCCCTCCGGAACCTGAGTCACTGCCCGAGTCACTTCCAATAAGCGTGTTAATTAAGAGGCAAGACCCTCCTCCTTCACCAGCCATTCGGGCATACACCAACCCAGCGGTTTCCGGGGCTGCAGCTAAAGTTTCCTTCCCAGCTCCGGGACAGCAAATGGACCGGAGTCTGGGGCTTCAGGCGAGCCCCACACAGAAGGGGCCAAACGCCGACAGGTGGAGATCAAGAGACTCCCGTGACAGGCCCCTGCAGGGCGCCGGTTCCGCGGCCTCCCTGACCATGGTGCACAGACTTCCAGCGCTAAGTGAGGAGCCTTGAAGCCCCTCAGCCAGTCTGCTCCTGGGCCTCACCCACAGTTTCTGAGGGAATCTCTACTTTAAGTCTAGCCTCAATCCTTGCGTTTAGCTTTCTTGCTATGCTTAGTAGAAAGATACATGGTCTCTGGAGTTGTTGCACAGAAGTGGGGAGGTGGGTCGGCGGAACTGAGCGCCCTGCGCCCTCTTAAAATGACCCCCCATTCCTATTCGCGAGAAACTTTCCCCTCCCGTTGCCATGGAGAGAGACGGCCGCTGGCACCAGTCGCCATAGCAACACGCGGGTACCGCGGACCGCAGGATTGCGGAGCTCTGAAAGTCTTGCAGTTCGCATCGCCCGGCTGTCTTGAGGTCTTCTACCTCCGAAGCTGGGACTTGGGGCCAGTATAACTTCTCCCGTCAGGAACCGCCGCCAAAGCCCTTCCAGCCCCAGCCTGACCGCCGCTCTTTCTGTTTCAGGGTTATCTATTTCGCTGCCATTTGTGTGGTATGTGGTAGTTTACCCAGTGTTTTCACAAACACAATCTTTCTATTGCCAGGCAGCCCGTGAAGCACTTAAAATCATTACACCTCCTTTACGGAGGGGAAAATTGAGGCGCAGAGACGCCCAAGGTCACACCAAGCAGTGAATGCGGAGCGGGAACCCGGGCTCTTTACCGGCCTTGCACCCTCCGAGATTCGGGACAGCCCTGCTCCCTGCCTCGAACCCCCTCCCCTGACTCAGGCCAGTCCCTGAGTGTAGAGGGGGCGGCCGCGAGGCGCCAGACTTGCCAGCTGCCGCGGGATGCCACGTGAGGGGCGGGGACCCTGCGGGGAAGTGATTAAAAGCAGAGCGGAGCCGCAGGGGGCCGCTGCAGGAAGGGTCTTCTAGGGGCCGTAGTGCCCCGCCCCAGTGCGGCCGCGGCGCGGGTTCCAGCTGCTGCTCGGCAGGCCTGGGTGTCTGGGGCATGAGCGGGGTGTGGGGGGCCGGCGGGCCTCGGTGCCAGGAGGCGCTCGCAGTTCTCGCCTCGCTGTGCCGGGCCCGGCCGCCCCCTCTCGGGCTGGACGTGGAGACTTGTCGGAGCTTCGAGCTGCAGCCCCCAGAGCGGAGTCCCAGTGCGGCAGGCGCAGGTAACGGGAGACCCAGGGCCCTCTCCCTCTTGGATTCCCGTCCTGCGGACTCCCCTCCCCAAAGCATCGGTCCTAGGAGCCCCAAAACCTAGAGAGAACTCTCCAGCTCGAGATTCTGGATTGGAAGCCAGCCTCGGGCCAGTCCCCTGGCCCACAGCCAGGAGAGACCAGAAAGGGACCTGGGGTGGGGGTATAACTCCCCCGGTCCTCCCGTGTCACTACTGCGGGGTACCCACAGACAACCAGGCTCCCAGGATGGGGCACCCTCGGGGCTGCAGTTTCCCTCGTATCTCCAGGCTCGCTCTGAGGGCGACCTGCCAGGAGAGGGGTCCGTGGAGAGAGCGGGAGACGAGGGGCGCCCGGCTGAGGAAGAGAGCTTGTCTCCTAGCGAGTGTCGAGGTCGCGGGCTCCGTGCATCGGTCTGTCAGTCCGTCTGTGTGTTCTCAGGGTGAACGCGGGCGGACCCCCGGTCTCTCTGGGAGAAACTTGGGTCTGCGGCTGGCACGAGGTCTTTGTGTCCGGGTGTCTCTCCGGCTGCGAGTGGTTTTCCGCGTCTCCGCTGGGGGGCGGGGGACAGGGGGCGGGGTGGGGGAGGGTATGAGGGTGTCGCGGCGTCCTTCCCCCACCCCCCTCGCCCCTATAACTCGCTCCCTCGCTCCCTCTCGGACTCGGACTCGGGGCGGGTGCGCGACTGAGCGGGCGCCTCTCGCCGACTTTGCCAAGAGGGCGCCTCCTGCCCGAGCCGCGCGGACCCTGCGCCGGACGCAACCCCAGGCGGCCGCCGAGCCGAGGCGGGAGCCCGAGCCGAGTCGAGCTCGCCGGAGCGGGTGAGTCCCGAGCCCGATCCCCGCCGGGCTGGACCCCGGCGAGCAGCTACGGCGTCTCCCGGGAGTCGCGACAGCGGGAATGGTGTGTCGCTCCCCGGCGGCGGGAGCTGCGGGAGGGTCGGCGACGTGGCGGCCGGCCCCGGTATTTACCTGCTGCACCAGTGCCCTGCGGCCACAGCCGCGAGGCTTCTTTGTCACGGCGTCTGGCGGGTCCAGGGCGGGAGGGAGTGCGGGGTCGAGTCCCCTCCGTGGGGGAGGGGCTGGGGGAGTGAGAGGCCTGGGGAGAATGCGGAGTGGGGGTGGGGAGATCCTGCGGGGACCCGGGCGCTGGGGTTCCAGGAGGCTCTGCAGGCTCCATCCCTCCTTGTCCCCCGACCCCGACCCCAGCAGTGCGGGGCCTACAAGTACTTGGGAGTTGCCCGCTGGCGCGGGAAGGGGAGAGAAGGGGCTGCCAGAAGCGGGAATTTGGTCCCCAAGCGTTGCTCCAGGGACAAGAAGCCTGGCACAGGAGCGGCGGTTCCGGGAGCAGGTACAGGTGGGGTAAACTCCCCAGCGGCTGCAGGTTCCCAGGGTCCTGTTTTCTTTCACTTGAGGTTAAAGGTCATATATAGAGGTAGGTTCCGGTGAGGAACACTTCAGGCCAGGGGCAGTGGCCCACGGGGAGGCTTGTGTGTGTGAGGGGGCTGTATTCAGCCTTGGAGTGAGTGGAGCACACCTGAGCACTGTGAGAGTCGTAGGAGTCTCTGCTCTCCCTAGTTGTGGCAATGTTTAGTCAATAGTTTGATCACTGCAGCAGAAGAGACTGAGGTTAGACATAAAGAAGAACTTTTAGAGGGTGGTTCAGAGATGGAGGTTGGGGAAGTTGATTCCTTGCCTTGGAGATTCTCAGAACAGATTAGGCCTGGCAAGTTATTACAGGTCTCTGGTTCTCTGGTGCCATCCCCTCCTACACCACCCATTTCCTCATACCCACCAGACACAGAATTTTCCCTATTAGGGAGTCTCTTCCTGCCTCTCCCTACTCCCCAGCTCCCTTCCATCTTTTCCACCATTGGTCCATCTCCAGTGGGGCCGTAATGTTTGACCCTCAGAGCCTAGAGGGTGAGAACATACCTGTCTAGTTCCACCTGGGAAGGAAGCTGCCCCTCCTGTCTGTCTAGGGCAGAAATGCTGGGGGTGGGGGTGGAAGATGCTGGGGTTGGGGTAGGGCTGTCTGTGCACAGCACATCTTGGTAGGGGGAGGCACTGGTGTTCTGATTCCAGAGGGATGCCCATTATCTGGAATGACAGGTGCCTGCATGGCCAGGTTGTGGGTGAGAAAAGCCTGAGGGGTAAGAGTCAGCAGACCCAGATGAATGACTATGCCTTCCCTGCAGGCTGCCTCAGGAGATGAGTTTGAGTTGTCAGCTCAGGAAAACTTTAACTTTGGCTGCTGAGTCACAAGTCCAAGAAGCCCAGGGGCCAAGCTGGGAGGCTGAAAGGGATATGGGGGGGGGGGGGGGGGGACAGGAGCAGACCCTTTGATCATAGCAACAGAAAGAAAGTGGTTGAGAGTGGTCTTGGGATCCTGAGAATTTAGGTGACCACAGGGTCTGGGGAGATGCCGTGGAGTCCAGGACTAGGCCCCAGCTGTTCTTCCTCCCAGCCTGCTCTCTGCATCCCACAGCCACTACCTGGGTCCAGATTCTCCAGCCAGCAGAAAGCTAGAGCTTTTCATTTGTTGCAGTTTTTTTTGAAATAGTCTCTTAACCATTTTATGTTTTCCCTTGACTTCCTCCTGTTCCAAGTCTCTAGCTTATAGATTTCTAGTAACACCCTGAGATTTGACAATTGAGATTCAGACTCCACTGTCATTTGCTGAGACTCATCTGCAGACCAGGGTCTGTGCTAGGAATTGCACAGCAAGTCTCAGTTAATCAGAGCCTGACTTGGAAACACCTGTACACAAACTGTCCCAACCGAAAGCAAGCTGCTCCTTTTTCTTTAAAAGCTCTGAAGCCACAGGCCTGCTATTCTCCTTAAAACACCCCAAGTGAATACTAACAAGCAGTTCTCCACCTTTCCTTTTGTCATTTGCCTTGTGGGGATGAATGAACTTTTTCCATAGGCCAAATTGCAGAGATTTAGGTATGGTTAGCATGGGTTCTGGACTTCAGGAAGCAAGCAGAGGTCCAGAAGTGCTCCAGAAAATGCAGAAACCTGACAAGAGACCTCAAGCTTCCCTGCTTTTTCTAGGCTGGCAGCCAGGGTTGGTTATCTGCAGCTTACCTGTGGCCATGAGATTTATGTGATGTTTGCTCACTTTGCTAATGACTCTGGAGATGTTCTGTGATTCAGCCACCTGGCTTTGAAGTGGCCTTTTGCAACATAGAGAATTTTTTTTTCCTGCTTGTAATAGCAAATGTAATGCCCCAAATTTCATTACAACACAAAGTTCACCCCCTCACTGCTTCTCAGTGGAAGGATGGAATTCTGCCGCTTTGGCCCTTTTTGAGGAAAAGTACAATGCACAATGCTTTAGAACCCAAGGAGATGATATTCTGACTAGTGTGTTTGAGCTTTAGAGTTCTAGAGCAGGGTCCAGTATCTAGGAGTCGTAGAGCCCTTAGATTTACAGTTGTAGAAATTCTCTTCTCCCTCTGGCTGTGATGAGAACTTCAAGTGGGGACAGTGATTTCAGTATGTGCCATCCCTCTAAGCTCTGTACAAAAGAGATGTTCTCTTCTAACTGAACTTTATCTTCCCTGTCCACGGAGTTAGGGGTATAACACATGACTGCAAATACTGAGGACTGGCATTGAGGCATCTGGACCAAGTCAGGTTTCTTTACGGTCTGTATAAGTTTGCCTGGAATGGGGAAACATGCTAAGAGCAAGTCCCGACTAAACTAGGTGGCGCCCTTTCTAGTCTTGCTTAGGAAAAGAAACCTGTAAGGACTGAGTCACACTTAGCTACTGAAATCAGAGGAGACTCTGAAAGTAGAAACGAACAGGGGCACCCAGATCTGGGCGCTCCAAGTGTAATGACACAACCTCATCCCTCCCTTCTTTCCTCTAGGAGCACTGAACTCTCTCTTGCTCCCTAAGGACCCACACAGACCCTTCCTCTCCCTAGTTGCAGGTACAAACAGGGAGAGGAGCATGGAGGGAAAAGAATTTCTGGCTGGCTGTCCCCCACCTCCATCACTCCAGCCTTAATCGCACATTCAGAAGGGCTACATTCCCTGGCCCCTTAGGCAGAAAGGTAGAGTTACCATCCACCAAAATAATAATATTAATAATTGCTAAATTAGTGCCAATGCTCTGTTAGCTATAACACTCCACATTAGTCTCCGATTTTGCTCTGAACCTCCTAATGATGGTGGAAGCAGGCGCCCAGTCATAAAGCTTGGTGTGGCCATAATTAGCTCGGCATTGTCTCTCCTCATCACAGCTTTTTCAGGAGCATTAATTCCTTCTCTGTTTGGACTCTGCTAATTATCCCCATTGGTAGCGCATGCTGGATCTCCGAAAGAAAGAAAGGAAGCAAAAGCCCTCTGCTCCCCTCCCCCTTGTCCTGAATTTTAATTACACCGGGTTCTCCTAATAAACTTACAAGCCCTGGCAGAGCTTATTATTAATGGGCCACTTCTGCGCCTCAGTACAGAATAGCTCTGTTCTCCCAACACACACACACACACACACACACACACACACACACACTCTCTCTCTCTCTCTCTCTCTCTCTCTCTCTCTCTCTCTCTCAGATATTCCTCAGGTACATCTCTGGTGGATGGGACTTTTCCAGATGCCACTGGTTACTTGCCTGGTGGCTGGTGGGCAACCTGCAGTGTCAGCTTTCCAGGGAAGAAGATGGGGCAGGGTGGTAAGCAGGCTGGTGATAATCCGAGCCTTCTGGGGCTCTATCCAGGTTTACAGGGTCCCATCCTCTCCTGAGTACAACTAAGAAATTCCTCCCCTTTCCTCCAGCTTCTCTGTCCAGCGTGAGACTCTACAGCTCAATCTCCAGTCCTCCCAGACGCCTGGTTCAAGAGCCCAGACTTGGGCATCAGAAAGTCCTAGATTCAAATCTCAGCTCTTCTCTTTAATGCACTGTGCCCTTGAACAAGTTACTTGGTTAACATCTCTACACTTAGTTTATTTATCATTAAGGGTATGTACCAATTTCTTAGGG